CCCTCGTTTTGCTTGTGGCTGTCACAGGCAGCCGAACCCGGCACGAGCCGTGCCGGGAAACCCAAGCGCTCCTGGAGCGCACACGACTCTCATCCCCTTCCCATGGGAATTCCGTGCAGCTCCGAGGCAAAGTGTCTACCCTGCCCAGGGAGAAAAGCAGCGAGACGAGGGCTTTAACGGGCGCGGGACCTGGATGTGCCGAGCGGGGCAGTCACACGAGACCGGAGCTCAGGGCTGAAAGGCGGGGTCAGCTTCGAAGCAGCAGAGACCCGATTAGCGCCTTTCTGAGCGGCTTGCAAGACCTGCTTTCCCCACAGAGCCATTCGGAAGCGAAACGTGATCCCGGCCCCCAAAGCTGCACCCCGTCCGCCCGCGTGTCCCGCACGGAGCCGGGACGGAGCCCCAGCTCCGCCGGCCTCTGCGCCGCCTCCCGCCTCGGGCTGTGCCCCGCCAGAAGCCGCTTCCCGGCTGGGCTCGCTGCTCTGAGCCACTGCTGGCGTCTGCAGGCGGCCCGGGGTGAAGAGGCTGCGGGCAGCGTTTGCAGCTCGGTTCCTCGGAGAAAAAAAAAAAAAAAAAAAAAAAAAAAAAAAGTTTGTAATACAGAAGGGCCCTATTACTCAGTTTTATATTTTATTAATAACTTTGTTGCTATGCTGACAGGAAGGACGTAAGTCCTGGTGGCCACTTGCTCCAGCTTTGCGAAGGGCAGGTAGGGAGGGCAGGAGCCCCCTCGCCTGCAGCCAGTCCCCGCCCCGCAGCACCTCTGCTGCTCCCAGAGCCCAGTTAGATCTGCAGTCTGAGCAATCTGAGCAAAGTTTCCAGCAAACCTCCCGGGTGCACCAGGGAGCATCGGGGTAACGCGCCGCGCTGCCGCCGCCGCTGCCCGCTCTTATTTCTCAGCATGGCAGGAGAGTCGCGACAGTTGCAATGATCGCTAGGATAGCTGGTGACCCGCTCTGCGGCCAGAGCTTCTGCAATCTCTCCTTCTAAAATAAAAATAAAGACTATTACATATAACGTTACAAAGGGACGAGCCTCCTCTGCAGGTGAGGGCCTCCCTGCTCCCCGTGCCCTGCCCGGCCCGAGCTGCCGCGCACGGAGCCGTCGGGGCCCCGCAGCGCTCAGGCCCACTCGGAGGCTCCGCTTCGCGCCCATCCGCGCCCGCGGAGGCGGGACCTGCCTCCACCGCGGCCGGGGGGAGCTGCCCCGACGCGGGGCCCCGCGTGGAAGGAGTTAACGGCCTCCTCACGGGGCGCTCAGTGCAGCGGCAGAGCAGAGCCCATTTTGGTGGGGGGGCTTTCAGAGCGGTGGCAGCTGCGGCCTCCAGGATGTGGCGGGGCCGCAGGAGGGAGCCCCGTTTTCTTTTCTCCTCATTGTGGAAAAACCCAAGCTCCATCTGTCCGGGGGAGCCGCTCCTGCCGCAGCGCAGGACCCTCCTACAGGGAGGGGGTCCCAACTTTCTGCGTCTCCCCCCCTTCCGCTCCGAGGGGGCTTTTCCTGCCGTCTGAGCTGCCGCCGTGCTCGCTTGGGCACCCCCAGCGCCCCTCGTCCCGCTGGCAGCCCCTGCACTTGGTTCGCGGGCTCCCGAGCGGAGCTCGTTACTCCCAAGGGCCGCGGTGGTGGAGACGGGGCGGGAAACACGCGGTGGTTTCTCGTGTCTGTGGCCAGCGGGGCCGGAGGTCACCTCGAACCCTCGCGTGGGGCAGGGTGGGCACGGGGAGGGACACAGTGCCTGTGGGGGCTCCTCGGGCAGGCACCGGGGCCCTCGGGCTGTCGGAGCACAGGCCACTGACCCCGGCGCCCCCTGGGCTCCGCGCAGCGCGGGGGGTCGCGCAGGTGCCGCGCAGCGGGGTGGGCGCGGGGCCGGGGGCGGCCGAGCAGCCTCCGCTCCGCGCAGAGCGGCCCCCGTGTCCCCCCCACCCCCAGGCTTCTCTCCTGCTCCCGGGGGGGCCGCGCTGCTCCCTGCTCAGGGGAAGCTCAGGGGAAGCTCGACGGGTTCCCGGCGCGACGGGCCCGCGGGCGGGCAGGGGGCAGCGAGGCAAAGGCAGCCCCGGGCTGCGCCTCTGCAAGCGCTTGACACGCAAACACAAGCGCCTATGGAGACGCGGGCAGAGATATACACAGTTTACATTATATTTCAACAGCCGAATTTCTCGCGGCTGCGGGAGTTCTCCCTCGCTTTCGCTTTGCTGCTCCCGTCCCCCTTTAATTCGCCCGCTTTCTCTTCTGTATAAATGTGGCTCGCCCGTGGCCGAACGGAAATCCGTTCTCACTGGATCTGGATGTTTGCAGGGTGTGGGAAGGAGAGCGGCGTCGAGATATATCGTCAGGGCGATGATTTCCATTGCGCGCCTGCGGACGAGCTGGGCGCGCGTTTAGAGTGAGGCGGGGAGGAGAAAGGACCGGAGCGCCCAGATTGCTCGGGCAACTCGAGCGGTGAAAATCCGGAATAATTCTCCCGACCTTGATACGATTACACGGAGTTTATTGGGTATTTTGTCGGTTACGAAAAGGTATAAGAATCGGGGATGTATATCTCAAATTGTAAAGTTATCAAGAGAAACAGGAAAAGAAATGTCCCAAACTCCTTTAAAATTGCATCAAAATGATCAGTTTGTTTTTTCCGATGTAAAACAGTGACCTTTCCCAAATATCAGATTTTGCCACTGTCAAACGAAAACACCACGATATTTAAATATTCGATAGTAAAGAAGACATAATTTCCCAGTAACTTCACCAGGGCCACCGTTTTCAGCGATTGCTGCCTTGAGTAGAATGCCTCTTAGTTTCACAGCATTCAAAGAAAAATAGCTTGACATTTTATCCCGCGCTCGTGCTGTAACCCGAAGGGGGGGAAAAAAAAAAGCTCCGGGGAAGGTCTAATGATCGACACTTTCTTTTCCTATCAAGCCATTTCCTACAGTGCTACATCCTTCAGCAAGCACGAATGAAAATAATAAAACGCGGCGACCAACGGGGAAAAAAAAAAAAAAAAAAAAAAAAAGAAATTTCGAAATATCGCTCTCCCAAGATGACGGCGCCCGATAGCAACCACGGGCACCTTGAGCTAAATCCCCGCTGCATCTGCCCTCCCCAGGCCTGCCGGGCCAAGCGCTCCCCTCGTGCAAATCCCGGCTCACGGGGGTCACTGACGCTCTGTGTCTCTCGGGTTGCAGATCCGAACTATTTCGGGACGGGCAGGGCAGAGAAGCAGCCCCGGGGCGAGGAGAGGAGCCGGCCGCGCTCTCTGCGGGGCGGCACCTCCGCGAGCGCGCTGGGGACTCGCTCCTTGCGCGTAAAACTTGAGTTTTCCCAGGAGGGGGGCGATTGAAATGGCGGAAAAAAAAAAAAACAAAATTAAAAAAGTTTCAGGATCAGGCCTAAGAAATGTCATTGCTCCCTGCATGGGCCAAGACACCGGCTAAAATCCCCCGTCCTCCGGCTTCAGGCTCCCGGGACCGCTAGATCTTGGGCGCGCTCCTGTCTCGAGGGAGATTTCCAGCACGCCCGGAGTAACGAAAACAAAGCCGGGAACCGAGACGAGGGCCGCGGCGCCAGGATGAGCGGGGGCCGCGCGGGAAGCCGCGCTCCACGCGTGGGCCCCCCCGCCTGCCCTGCCCGCACCGGCCCCGCCACGCTCCCCGCGCAGAAAGCGCCGCTTCCTCCGTGTCCTCCCTGGAAAACACCCCCGATTCCTTTCCCCCCCGGCAGCAGGAGGGACCGCGCACATCCCGCGTTAGCAAACCCTGCTTAGCACCGCGGGATCCCGGGCGCGCAGCCTCCGCGCGGGCCGAGCAGCGCTGGAGGCGCCGGGCGCGATCCGCGCTGTGCGGCCCCGGCGGCGCTCGGGCTCAACCGCAGCGGGGAGAAGGCGCCGGGAAACCCGCGCTTAGGAACGACACAAGCGACAGGGCCAGGTGTTAAACTGAAGTTTATAAATTAAAAAAAGGAGGGGGAAAAAAGTACAGCTGTAGCTTAGAGACATTCACAATTCATTGGAAGCAAATAATCTAACTGAGTGCACAGTGCCATTACAAGAGAAAGAGAGACTGAAAAAAAAATAAAAAGATGAGTTAACTTGAAAAAGAGACTGTAGTTACATTGCTGAGCAGATCAGAAAGCCCACTCCGAAGGAGAGGTCTGCAGAAAAGCTGTAGAAGGCACTGACGGCATTAAAATACCCTATTACATCGATTTCTTAAAAAGCCTGACTAGAAATATTCACATTGAATATAAAAAAATAGTAACAACAACAACTTTAATACAACTGGAAAGTGCGAAAAAATCTGTAACTCCTCCCTCCCCCAACACGGAAAGATCTCAGGAAAGAACAAAAAAAAAAAAAAAAATCTTGAGCTTTGGTACAAGTCTCACCCTTTTGTGACATATTTATCCTTTGCCAGGGATCACGGAGTACAGGAATAACAAGGAATTCAAGAGCAGGGGGGATCTGAAAGCGGCTTCCTTACATTCAGCACCATACAAGGCACATTCAGTCTGCAACAAGCTGGAAGAGCAAGGACTCGGACGTCAAAAGTAATCTTCCATACAATCCACGGCGGGAGTCCTTGATCTCCTCGTCTGTGTTGCTTTTGGTTTTCTTTTGTATCTTTTTTCTTTTTTTCCTCTCTCCCACACAAGACCAGGTCTCTACCAATCCAGAGCGGGACAACCCGGACAACCATGAGGTCTGCACCGCACACACGGAGAGCGGGAACACCGGGAACGGGCTGTGCCCCAGGACGCAAGTCCTGGGCGGGCAGGGTGGGAGCCGCGGCGGGGGCGGGCGGCCAACAAGTCCTACGTTGGAAGAGGAGAGGGTGAGCAACCATCCAAATAATATTAATAATAAAAATAACAATAAAATAATAATAAATACTGTCCAAGGCGCCGCGGGCTGCAGCGGGGCGCTCCGCATCTGCGAGGGGCACGGAGGGGACCTTGCTCTCCTGGCTGCCAGTGTGTGTGAGCGGGGGGGACGTGCGCGCAGCGGGTGCCCGTCACTGGGTGCCGGCGCAGGTGGAGAGCGCCCAGCCGGGCAGGCAGTAGTAGGGGTAGTAGTAGGAGGGCTGCAGGGAGAGCAGCGAGGGCGGCCGCAGCACCTCGCCGGGGTGATACTGTCTCTGGTCGTCGCGCACGAGCACCTTGACGGCGACCTTCTTGGCGGCGGGCGCGGCGGCGAGCAGCTCGGCGGCCATCTGGCGCCGCTTGGTCTTGTAGCGCCGGTTCTGGAACCAGATCTTCACCTGCGTCTCCGTGAGCTTGAGCGAGGCGGCCAGGTCGGCCCGCTCGGGCCCCGACAGGTAGCGCTGGTGGTTGAAGCGCCGCTCCAGCTCGAAGACCTGCGCGTGCGAGAAGGCGGCGCGCGAGCGCTTCTTGCGCGGCTTCGGCGCCGCCGTCTCCTCCTCCTCTCCCGGCAGCAGCTTCGCGCACTTGCCCGCTCCGTCCTCCTCGTCGGGCGGGCTGCGATCTGCGCGACGGGGAGAACACGGCGGTCAGGGCTGCACCGGGCGCGGCCGCTCGATCGCGCGGGAGCGACGGCGCGCGGCCGCTGCCGCGCTCTGCACCGCGGCTCCTCGTCCCGCCCTGGGCGCGAGGCGCCCCTGGCACGAGCTTCACTGACCAAGGCCTCTCCGCGCTCCAGGTACCCTCGGATGGAGGGGAATTTTGCACGTTTTCCACTCCACTCACGCCCGCAGGAGCCCCATCCCGCGCGGGCACTCGAGGGCGCGGCGGGATCCGCACGCGAAGCCCATGGCCGCGAGTCCCCCCCGGGCCGCCCGGCACCCCCCGACGGCGCGGAGCCCCGGGGACGCCCCTACCTGAGACGGCGGCCGACATGTCGCTGTCGCTGAGGGCGTCGCGCTCCGCGGGCGCGCGGGGCTGCCCCTCGGGCCGCCCGC